GCATTAAACGGTCCCAAACGCCTCCCAAATTAACTCGCCACCCCATACCTATTCAAATTTTGGATTCCATTTACAAACATTTCCAGCCTCCCCAGGTTACAATGTAGACATATTATGCTGTAGGCTGCCTCCACCCTAGTCTTTTTTGGTTTTCTACGTGTAAGTGAATTTACTTGTAACAGCAGTAGTTTTGACCCTACTGTCCATCTTTGTCTAAGGGATATTACCTTTATCCCTAACATTTAATCCCCCAACCACACACTTGTTTTCATCAAGCAATCCAAAACTGACCCCTTTCGAAAAGGCTGTACCTTAACCATAGCAAGGTACACCACCTCTATCTGTTCTGTGATGGCTATGAGACACTGCCTGCTACAATGTAAACCAGCTGCTACAGGCCCTTTGTTTACCTTCACCAATGACAAGTGGCTCTCCCGTTCTCCCCGACTAAGGAACCCCGTTCTGCTCTGCAATTGTGTGACCTACCCGCTGATCATTATTTCACACACAGATTCCATATTGGTGCAGCTACCATTGCAGCCGCAGAAGGTGTCCCTTCGTGGCTTATTAAGGTACTGGGCCGCTGGAGCTCAGACTGTTATGAACACTACAACAGAACTCCTCAAGAAACACTATTAGTTATCGCTAGGAAATTAGTCATGGATAATTCTAATGTTGTAATTCAGGTCTACTATAAGATCTGCTTGGACCCTTTAATCAGTTATGTCAGCCCTATTATCAACATGCAAATTCTCCCCACTGGCTTGCTGTATTTACTAACACTAGTCAGTTGAAAGAGTTCGATTCCCAACAGTCCTTTTTCCTTGTCTTTTGTCATGGCACAATTTCTTGTCCTTTACTGACTTCCAAGTAGCAATACTCGCATTAATTTCAATGCCGTTTACACCACTGGACTGAAAGGGTCGATCATTTAAGTTAATTATATTATCTATTGATTTATAACTTTGTGAATCTAGTTAGTATTATTCATTGAGAACCATGCTTCTTGTATCCCACTTTGGGTGGCAAACCTACTACTACGGAGGTCTGCTTTGCTTTTCTTTACTGTGGGGTGATTGTGTTCACCCCCTCCCCCTCTCGGGCTAGCTGTGGGCTCACACAATCGTGGCAGGGATGTGCAACCTAGGCTCCACTTTGCCCCACAGTAAGTGCTATGGCCACCCTTGGAAACAGGTCCAGATCTCTCCAGGATGGTGTCATCGTACCATCTGACCCATTGTTCTCCCAGAAGGGCACCCCTCTTCTGGTCCCCTTAGTAACATAGGTTTCTCTAGAGACATCGCTACCCTAGGGAGATAGGCTCTGTCTTCCCTGCCACCCATGTTTTGCCACTACAATCGGTGTTTTGTTTCTGTTTCCTGCATCTACTCAGCAAAGGGGGCTTGCAATGTGGTTACCCATATAAATTCCCTTCTAGTGTGGCCAAGGAGCCAATATCCTCGCTGGTACTGTTAGATCTGCCCCTTCCCCCTGTATGGGCGTGGCTTTAATATATTGAATTGCACAGCAGCAGGGTCTCATTTACGGCAGATAAAATTCGATTCATATATCATCTGAAAAAATGTATTGTTTTGGCATACGGTAGTCAAGAATGTGTTGTCCAAAATGATATTTTAGGAAGGTTTTATCAGATATGATATATTAGCACAAAGTATCCAACAGTAACGTGCTAAAATAATTGTCGGCAAATAACATCATTAGTAATGATTTGTGACATTGCTATATTGAGGTCCGTTATTTTCTTGTGGATCTTCCCACATAAATATGGGTTGATGGAGAGAAAACCAGATTTGTCTCAACGGCTGGATTGAACACTCCTTAGAATAACAACATGAAGATTACGGGACTCCTGTCGATGTGTGCTCCGATCCCTTTATGGTGTTGCCATCTTATTTCTTGCTCCGTGTAGCTGTAAATCTTTCATTGATGAGCCAGCATTGCAGCAAGGAGATTCCAAAGCAGCATCTCTCGGATTAAAACAAACCGAGATGAAGGATGAAGGGTAAAGAAGAAGATGTGAAGACAATGGCGATGTCTACGGTACTTTTCCAGACGAACCGGTCTCTTTCAGGCTGGAAGGTCTTCAAGCAAAGCCATCAAACAGAGAAAAGGAAAGAAGAGACTGGGTTTGTAGCGAAGACTTAGAAGACGACGGTTATGAGGACTACAATGGTGTATTATACAATTTACTTATTTATTCGTTTGTTCACTTAAATATTACTGGCCGCCTAATAGATGTGGCCGTTTAAATTGTGAGCTAAGTATATATTAATTTCGTCTGACAACAACAGGTGAGGGGGCGACCAAGACCAACAATCCTGAGAAGCCAAAATGCAGGGGACGGTGGTACAATCCCTTCACGCAGCTGTGCTGCCGTGGTCGCAAAAAGAACAGGACTAGGATAAAGAACAGGGTGAGAGCTAGGTGCTGCGGGACGTCCGTTTACGATGGGTTTTATAGCGGAGCTCCTGCGCGCCGAAGGCGCGCGAGCGGAGCCCCATACCTTAGAAAATGTGGTAACCCATCGATCTGAAAAATTTTGGTTGTCACGTGACTGTCCGTACGCCAATACCTTGAAAACTAAGAGAGTAGCACCATTACCATAGCTACATCTTTGATTTTGTGCGTCCCCGCCATTGCTAATTGACAGCTGTCAAAACAAGCTATCCGCTGACCAGTATCAAGTGACTAWATCGCGGGCTCAGGTTTAGAGCTCATCGAGGTTGCGTTTTTTGTTTTTTAAACTTGACCGCTGACCAGTTACTGGTGTGGCGATTAGACCGCGGGCTCAAGTCACGTTATTTTTCTGAGGAAGAAGGAAGGAGTACTTGCAAAGGCAAAATTTCGGCGCAAACTAACCCCTGGCGCATTGTTGACTTTTCTTTTGACATATTCCTTGTACAATCGTCTCTTGGAAAGTCCCTGATATATTGCGTACGTAATTTCTACAATCTTGGTTAGGATTGTTGGGTATAGTTTGTTAAAATTTAATTGGGAAAAGTAGCAAAACCACACGCTGAACAATTACATGCTCACAATTGATCATTTTTTGAGTTTCTGATCCAAGAAAAAATAATTCTCTCCTTCCTTTATCGTCAGTTATTGCAATCAGGAGCTCCGCTTTTAGGCTTGGCTAAATCTATATAATACAAAATGCTGTGGAAGGCGCGTCTACGATACCTACCAACACCGCTGCTGTAGAGGTTGGGTATGCCCCTTAAGGGTTTAAAAGTTCTCTCCGCTATCCCTGTTTAAGCCGTAATTTTAAGAAGCAATAGTAGTGGTGGAAAGATGAGGAAGCTTAAACAACGACGGCGGTGACGCCGAGGATGACGCCTAGTGAAAAATGAATTTATATTTTCCCAGCGAAATTAGCGATTGTCAAGATCTGTTCAGGACGCTTATGGCTCTAAAAACGTGTTCAGGCTAAATATGTAACGATAGCGTTCATTTTCAAAAGGAATACGAAAAATTGGCCTTTGTCGTTCGCTTTCCTCAAACTACGCAGAACTTGGTCAGTCCACGTTCTTGTTTTGCAATGGGCGTCTAAGAAATTAAACGTCAGTCACCAACAACAGTTCTTTTCAGAACTACACTCACCCGGACGATCACACTATACGAACTGTCATCATTTTGTTGGAGAATGGGACTTAGGGCGCGATGCTCAACGAGTTTCCAAGCAGAAAGGTCTCCGAAGAGTCCCTTGGCCGGGACGAAACGAGCTGCGTAAGGCTAACCACGAACAGTGTATTATCACAAGTAACTGTCAACTTTATTGTCAATTTTCACTCGTGAATTTGTGCGGTCGGGAATCCTTATGCGATATAAGACTAGCCACGAACAACGTACAATGAGTAACTGTCAACTTTATTGTCAATTAAAAAATAAAAATAAGAAATAATAATAAAAACAGACGTGACTGGTCTTCTCCGCTTCTTATGTGATAAGTAGTTTGGTCACCAGAACAAAGCTCTCGGCTAAAATTTTACCGCTCATTTTGTCAAAACATTACTGTTGCAGATAAACATACTTCTTTTACATTTAACAGCAAGATCTTTAATAAAGCTGAACATTATTTTTTCTCTCTCTGTTGTGACCGGGACACACTAGGCGAAAAGCCCCCTATGACACGACACAGGGTTAAGTCGCAGCGACAATTCGCTTCGGGTGAAATAGTAATTTGTGACAATCTTTGTCCCATCGCCATATTTTTTTTCCCTGCGACAAGTCGTACAAATTCAAGCTGACTTGCAATAATCACGACCCGTCCACACTACGGCAGAAGAATTCGAAATTGAGGAATTTAAAAACGCAACAATCAACGGTCGTCACTTTGGGTTTGTGATTGAAGAAAACTTGGTCAGGAAAATCACATGATTATCGTCCACACAAAAACGAAAAACCGGTGTTTTCAAATTCGTCCAGGTTGAAGAGTGTTCAGTTTCGACAAGGTCTGTTTTCGTGGCGTTTGCTACGAAGCTGTCGTATTTTTCGCTTTCCCTTTGGTTAATGTGAAGCAGCAGGTGTGCACAAGTTAATTACACGAGCGAATAGTGATTTTAAATTAAGAATTTGTAATACACACGAGTATTATTTTCTTGAGGAAATTAGTTTTTGAATTGTCTTTGCAATTTGTAGTTATAAAAAGATCTTAATAACTGATTAGCTCTTAAAAGTGATGACAAGAAATGTGGTATTTGTTGCCACGTAATTATTAGTTTTTCTCATTTTACCAGGAATCTGCCTGGGAAGTAAACAGCACTTAAGTACCGTGCCGAGAAGATGTGAATATATCTCACTCGTTCGCTGCGCTCACTCGCGTTCTTGCCTCGAGAACATAAAATTCATAACTTCGAGCTAACGTGTAATGTTCTTCTTATTATATAGACATACTTATGACGACGTATTTGACGATTTTATATATATAGATATAGATATAGATATAGATATATAGATATAGATATATAGATATATATACTCTAATTTACAGCTGTTACAGCTGGGGAAGACATTCGAAACACAAATTGTCTCATTTCTTTCTGTCGCCAACAGTAAATTAGTGGATTGAGGAGAGAATTCAACATGACAATCATACGGAACCATGGCGCCAAATAAGTAGTGTCCTGTTCCGCTATAACAGGCACAAATGATAAGGCCCCAGGTGAGAGGCATAACAAAACAGCACCGACCACATAAACAGTTGTCTTAAGTGCTTTTCTCTCTTTTACAAATCTTTCCACCTCTTCTTGGGGTAGTTGTTGAGCTTTGATTTTACTTTGCTGATGAGCTGCTTCCTTGTACAAAATCGTGTAAGACGTCGTCATGAAAACAATGCAAGAAATCAGGACGATTGATACAATCATCTTGCCAATGTTTCTTCCCAGACGTTCATTAAATAACAGATTGGGTAATGGCCATCTAAGGACTGAACAACATAAAGCAAGAACCCAAGACGATGTTACTGCCACCTTAATGTTCCGCGCTGTTACGAGATAAGGATATGCCATGGTATATTTGATGGCTATTAACCTCTCACAAGTGACTAACATCAAATGGAGAGCCGACGAAAAAGTAACTACCGTTAAAAAAAAGAAGTGAAGAGGACGAACAATGTCAGTATTTATTCCACCAAGTAGCTGGAATATTCCCCAGATAATAAAGGTTGGCTGGACAAGGAGACCAGTTAATGCATCCGTTACCGCCAGGCAAGCGAGTAAGACGTTGGCGTAACTCTGTAGTCTTGGTTTTCTTTTCACAGCCATGATCACCAACATGTTAAGAACGACAATAAAGGGGCAAGTAATGCTGTTAAAGATGATAGTGATGATGTAACTAACCTTGAGTGGGACATTTAGAGCTTCGTCATCCATGGTGATATTTGTTATCGCTTGGGAAATGTTTGTTAGATTTGATGCCGAAAGGTTAATCATATTGAGTTGAAAGAAAGTCTAAAAACTGGGTACAGACGTCTCCCACATTTTTAAATATCAGTTTCATGTTGCGGAAAACTGACTGGCAGATAACTTGCAGCATGTCATTAATTTCCTGGATGATAAGTCTTTTTCGTACATTTCATACTTTTGATCCGAGATTAATTTTATGAAATTCTATGTAAGCCTCAATTTGAACTAAATGATTTTAGAATATCATTTAAGCAACAATAAAACCTGTGACAGAAAGTTATAATTTTCAAAGTTGAAAAAAATAGATATATATGTATATATTAAAAACAATGGATTTATCTAAAGAAAGAAAAAAACAACAACATTAAAGTTTGCAGATTGGGCTTTTAAACGGAAAATGGTCGCCTCCCTTTTGCTATACAGCGAAATTAATATTAAAATGTACTTAACGCCATTGTGATAAAAATGAATACAATGTTGTTGATGTTCTTTAATTACACGAAATAGACACCGAATATTGATTTCTTTCATACTGATAAAGAAATATCTAAAAGTAGAAAAAATAATAAGAAAACGAAAACTATAAATGAGATAAAATCACTCCAAAGAACTCTGCTGACCACCATCCTTAAATGCTCGAGCTGTGCTAACTGTATTACGAATCAGTGATCCGTTCAGAGAACTCAACATCTGTGAGCCGCTATTTGATTAATTCAGTGTTATCCATTTGAGTCTACCACGTTTGACGGAGATTAGGAATACATAATGTCCGTGAACATGACATCCTGTGACTTAGATGTTTCACTTTCAATAACGCGGTCGTTGTATTTACTTGCAAATGTAATTTCAATCTTTCATCCGCTCACGATACTATGGGCGTTTCACGAACATTTACTCACACAATCTGAAAAAAATAGAAATTTATATCTTTCCGACTGCCACATGTGGTTAAAGCTTTCAACAACTTATCAAAGAAGTTAATACTTTTGTTTCGATGAAGTATCGAAACGAAATATATAAATTACCCTAATCCTTTTCATGAATCTTTCATTGGCAAGTCTTAACACCGCGCTTAGTTTTTAATTCATTCTTTGACAGCGTCTTGAGAAATTTTACCATCGAACGAAACGTCAACCGAGGCGAGACAGCCTAAAGGAAAGAAACAAGACGAAATCATCGAAATCTTAGAATTTGAAAGCTAACCGTTAACAGACTAACCTGACGATTATTCAGGCTCTCTGGGTGCTTTTTCAGGCTGATCCGAAGACTCTAGTTACCATTGTTTCCGCCATTTCGGGTTTTTCGGCGGTTTTGTTTAGGACGTTTGAGTGGTCTCGCTGGTTTCGGTCGTTTTGTTTTCATCTCTTTTTATCTCTTTGGGTGCTTATGCCTTTCCTCACTTTACAGCGGTTATCAATCACACGCGACCTTCAGCGCAAAAACGTCTTGGCAAAACCTAAGTTTTGGTGGACGTCAATCATCTCCGTCTCCTTGCCGACTGTGTGCAAAATTTACCTGATAAAAAAAGAGTCTGAAACCTTGCAACGGTCCACTCGTAAAACTTATCATTTTGCTTTCAGTATAAACGGCTAGCTCACTAAATGCATTGGCATTAAATATTCCTTGAAATTTATAACTGAAAACGGGCGGGTGGGGTTTCTCAACGGCCATTCGCATGCATGAATGACCCCGAGAGCAAATAATACACCAGTCAAAGTACATCCCCGCCCCGCCCCTCCCCCGACCCGGGAAAGGCGGGGATATTAGCGGGTCAAAAAACGATCGTTGACTCTCAAAACTGCCCCGGTACGCAAGGTCTTGGACGAGAATTGCTTCTTCGGTATCCCAAGGTCTCCGAAGCCGGGAATTTCTCTGCCGGAGGCTTGGAGTCTAGAACAGTACTGTGTATTGCAAAGAGACTTTTAAAATAATTATAAAATATTTTAAAATTAAAATACTTGTGGTCAGCACGCAGCAACAACTAATGATCTTGTACAACTGAGTTTATTAATCGACCGGTTTCGTCTGCTAATGAGACTTCGTCAGGATTTAATAAACTACAAGATACAAAGATGGAACTTATTTTATACTAGATATTGGTAGTACAAAGTACCTTCCTACTGTAGGGTGAGAACAACAAAACACCCACAAGAAATACGTGCAGGATATGACTAAAATCCTGTGCCAGAAAATGTGCAGTGTAATGTAAGCGGGGCTCACGGATTTAACGTTAAATGGCCCAAAATTTTCATTGATCTAAAATTTTTGAAAGCAGCTTGATTTCTTTTTCCCTTTCTTTCAGTGGGATTATGATGATTAATATAAGACAATAAAACAATGTAAACCAAACCGTTTTGAAACATTTTGAACCAAATAAAATTGGACCCTCAGCATATACCTTCAATGGTAGGCGGGGACAAGCGAGGACATTGGAATGAAAGTATATATATACTTCCCTTGGGGTGGGGAAATTAGCTCATTTTTTTGAGTCCTTATGTCCAAGTCTCCGCCTATTCCCGGGNGGGGGGGGATTTACTTTGACTGGTGTATAAATCTACACGCAAACAAATTATTTCTGTACGTATTTTTCTTGGGGCTACGGACTGACCAAGGCAAACTTCATATAAACCTTATAATTTTGTGAGGTAATAAAGTTTACTCCGTAGCAGAAATAATTTGTTCGCTCGCGTTCAGATTTGCTTGATCTCGGGGTCATTCATGCATGTGAATGGCCGTTGAAAAACCCGACAAACGTCATCGTTTATAAATTTCAAAGAATATTTAGTGCCGATGTGTTTAGTGAGCTAGCCGTACATACCGAAAGTAAAATGATAATTTTTACCAGGGGACCGCTGCAAGGTTTCAGGCTTTTTTGTCAGGTAGATTTTGCATACAGTCGGCAAGGAGACGGAGATGATTGAGGTCAGCACCAAAACTCAGGTTTTGTCAAGACGTTTTTGCGCTGAAGGTCGCGTGTAATTGATAACCGATGTAAGATCACGAGACCAGAAGATTAATAACGCTCTAACGTAGCTCAGTGTTCTGAAGTTTCTGATTTTTTTTCCCGCTCTAGAGCGTGATAGAATAGATAGATGTCTCTCGTTCTACGAGATTACGCTGTTGTGTTGTGGCCAAACAGTTGCGCTACCAAACCGCTGTTAGCCTGCTTGCGCTAAGTAAAAGTACTAAACTTCTCATAAAACGAATGAATCAGTCATTGTCATTGATTTATCTTCAGTACAAACGTATTAAGACTGATACCGACTTTACAATTGTTCATTGTTTTTCCGGCCAGAATTACTATCTTGTTTGCTACCAATGGAAACCTCAATCAAATTCCTGGGAAAACATTTAACCTGCCTTATATAACGGTGGAAAAATAAATATGCGTGACGTATTACACAATTAGAAATAAAATATCGTTTTTAGAGTCACATTTTAACTTTTGTCGCTCTAATTTACAACCTCAACAACTAGAGAGGAAATTCGAAACAAAAGGTCCGTGGCTCATGTCCATGCAATTTTTGTTCAAAATCAAAAATCGTTTTGTTGGTTTTATTTATTTATTTATTTTTTGCCATTTATAAATATATTTACAACATATCAATGTATAGGGCAAGGTAGCACAGCGAAACCAATAAGTAAATGTAAAGGACTACCTTAAAATTAAAATTGAAAATTGATGTCAACTTTTCATTTTCGCGAAAACAACCCACAGTACGCCGGAGAATTTTGAAAACGAAAAATGTTGGATTTTTGTTTGGGAAAAACCAGGGCAGAGAAATCACATCATTATCGTCATGTCAACATATTTGAAAAGCTCCGTTTTCAAAATGTTTTCCGTCCACACGAAAACGAAAAGCCGGCGTTTTCAAGTACATTGTTTTTGTGACATCTATTCACGCAAAATGAAATACGTGTACATTTAAACATGAAATGTGACAAAAGGTTCTTTAACAAGATTCAAAGAGGCTACTTCTGTCAAAACGTAAGAACATTTTGGATTAGTCGGAGGCCGCTTCGGCCAAACTGCATTTTTCCTAAAAATGCAGATTTCCACTTAGAATTGCTATCACTTGATTAAGCCGACTGTTGAAAACAAGCATACGACAAATATCTCCATAAGCCACTTCTTTTTAGCTCTTGAACTAGACTATCCTCTGT